GGCCGTAGCCGCAATGCTGTTGAAGCCGTGTTATATTCATTAAGTTCAGCTTCACTCAGCAACGTCGCATTTGGAATGTCAATGGCTTTACAAGATCTAGTTGAGACTCTAATTACTCAGACAAATAAAGTACAAAGGCGGCTTATTCTTGGGACATCTCAAGACTTGCAGAAACAGGATCTTCCACAGTCTACTTTCCCTCACCCTCCCCTAACTCACGTATTTATAAATGTGATCTGCCTGATTCTGAGAACTCGGCTGATTGGTTCCCACTCACTGGCATGTGTGGTGGTTTGAATGGGAATGGCCCCTACAGGTTCCTATACTTGAAATGTTTGGTCCACAGTTGGTGGAACTGTTTGGGAAGGATTAGGAGGTGTGGTCTTGGTGGAGTCTCTCTCTGCTTTATGGTTGTTATTTCAACATGTAGGCTCTCAGCTGCTGCTCTAGCACCGTGATTACCTGACTGCTGCCACGTTTCACTCCATGATGATCAGGGTCTCTACCAACCTCTGGAACCAAGAGCCCCAAATTAAATGTTTTCTTTTGTATGTTGTCTTGATCATGACATTTTATCACAGCAATAGAAAAGTAACTAAGACAGCATGTAAACACAGTGGTAACCTGGAGTTGTATCCTTCCCTCTCAAACACTACTAACCACCTTTCCCATCTCAGTCAATCAAAACCCCACCATCTTTAAAAAAATAATAAGAATAAATCAAAAAGCCCCCCCATCCATTGACCACACCCTCATAAGAGACTACTGTGGTGCAGCCACTAAAAATGATGCTGTAGAGGAATGTAGGAGGAGGAAAGCTCCAGGCACATTTGTTATCCGAAAATGTCAGGCCACAGGCCACCAGGTACCTCAAAGCACAAACTCATCTTAAAGGCAGATTGAGACTAGGCAGAAATGGTCATCTCTGTGTGGTTTCTACTCATCTTCTAACACCCTGCAATAACTCTTTGCCATTAAATAAATGGCCAATGAAAACATCCTGCCTTCATGGGATAGACTGTGCAACCTTCCTCCACAGAGTTATGTGTTGAAGTCCTAACTCCCTAACTGTGGCTGCCTTCGAGGCAAGACCTTTAAAGACGTAACAAAGGCGAAATGGGTTCATGTGCAGGTTCCTGACACAATGAGACTAGTGCCCTCATAGGGGAGAAAACAGAAACCATCAGTCAGGAGTGCACTTGGGTTCCTACAAAGAACCCAAGTTTGGTACCAAGCATCTGTGTTAGGTGGTTCCCAACCACTTATGTCTCCCATTCCAAGGAACCCAATGCCCTCTTCCTGACTTTGCAGGCACCCTCGAACACGTGGCACACACATACACATAAATACAGATTTTAAATAAACAAACGAACATCTTAAAAAGAAAAAAGAAATGGGGCCCCAGATAACAAGAGCCATGTGCAGAGACATGAACACACAGCCAAGAACGAGGCCTTCAAAGCAGACAACACTACCGACACCTTGATCTTGGATTTTATGCCTAAGGAGCTATGAAACCTTTATTGTTGGAGACATAAGCCTGTGGTATTTTGTTATAGTGCCTGAGCTGGAATGCCAGCCCTTCCAGGAATCCCCCCCAAGCCCAAATATCCCCTCTTCCCAGCTTTATGTTCCTATCATTTTAGTGTCAGTGACCTGTTTAGAATAACTTCCACTTACCCTTCTCCCTGCTAAGCTTCTTAAGACCAAGTTCAAGTCTCATTCAGATTTTTCTGTCCCACCCCTGATTGCCAGGGAGCCAGGAGGGCTCAGGAACAGGCTGTTGCACTAAGTGGGACTTTCTAGGGCACTGGTTGGGGTTAAATTACTTACGTGTTTCCTGACACAGGTGTTCTTGTTGGTGGGGTCTATGTGCATGTGTGTGCATATGTTAATAGGGGCATGTGTTTGTGGGTAGGCTTGCCTGAGTGCATGTGTACATGCACACATATGTGTATGCCTGCATATGTTCACATGGGGGTGTAAGAGTGGCATGAAGGCACATGTGTAGTTGGGGAGGATGTTGTTCCAGGAAGGTACCACCCCTTACCCACTGAGTGATCTTGGAGGCGGCCACACTTCACACTCAAACCTTAACAAAGCATTTTCACATTTATCCTCTGTTTTTGTTTGTCATAACAGACCACCAAGTTCACAGGTGAGGCCAGCTTCTTCACAGAAGGTAGGGTACCAAACATTTAGTGATGGTGATAACTAGAATGTGTGAGTGCCCGACATCACACCAAACTGCATGCGTGCCTGGTCCTCATCTCCACAATGAGCATCTGAGGGAGCTATGATTGCCAGGCCCATTTCATAAATAAGGAAATTGAGGCCAAAGGAGTTGCCCGGGCTCACATAGCTAGAAAAGAATAGAGCTGAGACAGAAACCCAGGCTTACACATTCACAGCTCACACTTAGAACTGATACCCCAAGCTGGCCCCTCCCCACATAAAGAAGGGCCGCTAACTGCAGAGCAAGCATACATCGCTCCAGGACTCAGCGGGCTGAGCTGGTCTAGAAAGGGAAAGTCTGATCTAAGTGTCTGGGATGCTGTGCACAGGATAAGGTATGGTGCTGGGCCTCTCGCTCCGTGCTGTTGACAGTGAAGGATCTCAGGCTGAATTCAGGCACCAGTGTTCTCCCCCTTTCTCCTCAAAAGTCCCCAGTATGTACCAGCTGCTGGGCTGAGAAGCTGAGAGATAGACAGAGAAGAGGAACTTGCCCACCAGAAGCTCTCACCTCAGGAAGGCAGGCTGGTACAGAATACTATGACATAAGGTTCTATTGGGGGCTCTGAGGGGAAAGCCCTCAGCCCTACCACTGATTTCTATGAGGGTTTAAGCAAATTATAGGTATCTTGTGGTCTCAACTTCCATGGCAGAAATAGGGTTACAGTAGAACATGTTGCACAACATCTTCTGGAAACACCATCAGTTATTTATACCTAATTTCTGGATGGATAATATGTACCTGTAATCCCATCATTGAGAGGGCTGAGGCAGTAGGAGCTCCAGTTCAAGACCTGTCTGCACTACACTGTAAGTTCAGGGCCAGTCTGTACCACACTGTAAGTTCAGGGCCAGTCTGGGACACAACAAAGAAGAAACAAAACAGGGCTAGGGATATAGGTGAGTGGTAGAGCGTCTTCCCAGCATGCACCAGGCTCAAGCCCTAATCCCAAAACATCTAACCCTGGCAGAGAAAAGCAGCCTTTGTATCAAAGAAGGAAGTAATAGCAGCTCCAATGGGCAGTTTACACCGCACCATCCCTGGTCTCCACCCTTCGGGTAGATGGCATTTTCAAACAAGTCAATAATATGGATTAGCAAAGAACAGCCTCAGATAGGGTCAATAGCAATAGTATTAATGGCACTCCCTTGCCCCCCTGAGTCCAAAGCTGACCTCCTGGGGGTCTCTTCTTTTCCTAAGCCATCTCCTACTGACCAATGCTCTTAGAGGTTGGGGAAACCACTCACTGACCTCTTTCTTTAACTCTCATGAGATAAGAGGGAGTCTTCAGAAATGTGCTCAGTTCTTCCTTGCCCAAGGACAGAAGGTCATTTATGAGTGCTTCTCCATGACTGTGGCCAACTGCAGGACACGATGTCGTTTGAGAGTCTAAAGAATCTCAATATCTTGGCATGAATTTTATCAGGCCCCAAGATTAGAGACCCAAACACAATTGTAGAATTTCTTTTTTTTTCAAAGTTATCTCTCTCTCTCTTTTTTTTTTTTGTTTTTTGTTTTTTCGAGACAGGGTTTCTCTGTATTGTCTTGGAGGCTGTCCTGGAACTCGCTTTGTAGACCAGGCTGGCCTCGAACTCACAGAGATCTGCCTGCCTCTGCCTCCCGAGTGCTGGGATTAAAGGCGTGTGCCACCAACGCCCGGCACAATTGTAGAATTTCTGCGACAATAGATGACCACTCTCTAGAAGGGAAAAGGGAAGAGGGATCCTCCTTGCTCGGTACCATATTCTATCTTCCCAGGGTCTTCCATGGCACTGTGGAGCCTTGACGGGGAGCTCTGAGTTGACATTCTACAGCTCTACAGCTCACCCAATGTAGCAAGGCACCCAGGCCCTGCAGGAAAACCTCACCTTCCTGAGTGGCTCACAACTCTGGGGAGATGGGGTAAAAAAGAGAAAGGTTGCCCCATGTGCCACACCCATGGGGCTCTGAGGCCTTCACAGGATCTACAGTCAGTGCCATGTGGGCAAGCTGTCTTTGCTATCATTCATTCAAGGCCACAAGAGAAGGAGTTCAGTCACCGTCTCTTACGCCATTGCCAAACATCAAGAACCTTCTATCCCCATCTCTGTCTTTTGTACTGAGGACACTCAAATGAGAAGATAAAGTCCCTGTCTCCAGGAACGTATAGTAGGGGCCCAGGGACAATGTCATCTTTTCTTTCTCCTCTCCACCTTTATCACATAGCCCTGGTATCAGTGGGCAAGAAAAGCTGGGTGGAGTCAACACAGAAAAAAATACTGGGTTGGCAGTTGGCAGCCATTTTAAACAAGGGTCCCATGGTATCAGAAGGGTTTAGGTTTAGGGCTTGCTGCCATCTGGGTAGCCACAGGCCCCAGTAAGAGTCTATGTAGCACTATTCCAGGTCATAACTCCTAGTAAGACTGGACATGCTACCCACTCCTAGAGAAATGGAAGTGATGTCAGAAGAGGAAGATGCAGGCAGTAGAGATAGGCTTCTGATAGGCTGCCAAGTATCAGAAAGTATGACCTGGGTCCCAAGTTCTGTGCAAAGGCCCTAAGGCCTGTGTAAGAAGCTAAAGGTAAAAACTGCCCTTTTCTGACTGGAGAGTCATGGAGGGTCAGTGGAGGATTGAAACAGACTGCCTAAATAATGCCTACAGGATGCATCCTATCACAACAAAACTTGGTATATTCTTTTTTGTTGTTGTTTTGTTTTGTGGCTGTCCTGGAACTCACTCTATAGACCAGACTGGCCTTGAACTCATAAAGATCCATCTGCCTCTGCCTCTGCCTCTGCCTCCTGGGTGCTGGGATTAAAGGTGTGCCACCACTGAATCCTAAAAGATGGGTCTGACTTGATACATTGTAAGAGGCCAGGTTTGTTTGGGACTCAAGCTCAAATACTACCAAATGTTTGCTTTTGTGCTGTTTGCTTGGTTGTGTTGTGTTTTGTTGTATAAGACAATCTCATGTAGCTCAAGTTGCCTTGAACTTACTACACAAGTAAGGATAACCTTGAACTCTCCCAAGTCTGGGATTACAAGTGTGCACCACCATGCTCAACTGAGACCAGGGTCTAAGGCCCAGCAATACACATAACCTTTGGGAAAGTCTCTAATTCTAAGTTTGGGGTTCTCTCACATGTGGGCTTGGGGACATCATCAACACTTGCCAAAGGACATGGCCAGAAGAGAGGGATGGGGTACGGAACAGCACTTGTCAGCTCTTCTTTTATGCTCTGTGGGTCCTTCTGGCTCCCTCAGTTTAAAACGGCTTCTTCATTACCTGATGGCACAGCACAGCCTGGCTTTGTCTTTCATTTTCTGCCTTGGGGTTATCTATCTGATTCCGACCCACAGCACCTAATGAGAATCAAATGATAGGTGAGACACCTGTGAGAAAGGAGAAAGGAAAGGAAAACTTACAAACACGGTATTATTGGAGGGAACCCACAACTACTCGGGTTGAGTTTGGGGAACTTCTCTCCCAGCTTCCTGGTTCAGTTCCAGTGACAGGAACATAAACACGGACAGCTATGACTCCAGGTGTGGTCCATGGGCATCACCTGTGGGTTCAGTAGAAATACAAGCTGTCAGAAAGCTATACCGGACCAGCTGGAATATCTAAGATCCCGGGTGGTTCCTGAACACACCAGACTTTGAGAAGTTCTAGGAGGATCACAGTCCTTGTCTGGACATTAGAATCATTTGAAGAACTTTGAAAACTACTGTTGACCAGGGTGCGTCCCAGGACGCTGGGAATCACATCGATCGATTGATTGATTGATTGACTGATGATTGTTGAACCTCCGAGGCAATTTCAACATGCAGCCAGGGTTGAGAGTTCACCTTCTAAACAAGGCTACGCTGCGCAGGACAAGAAACAAAAGTCTAAAGCGGTAATGGAGGAGCATGTCTGTAAGTTCAAGACTTAAGAAGCTGAGACTGGAGACCCTGTTTCCAAACTAGGAAGAAAAGAAAAGAAAAGAAAAGAAAAGAAAAGAAAAGAAAAGAAAAGAAAAGAAAAGAAAAGAAAAGAAAAGAAAGAAAAACTAGACAGCAAACCCAAACTAATTGAGCATACCTGTAATCTCAACACTTGGGAGGTGAAGGCACAAATTCAAGGTCATCCTCAACCACACAGTGAGTTAGAGGTTAGTCTGAGCTATATGTCTCAAAAAACAAACAAACAAACAAAAAACCCAGAGCTTAGCCTCTCCCAATACTGTCCTTCACTTTAGCGGGAGATGTAGCTCATTCAGTAGAGTGTTACATAAGTAACCTAAGCTCTCACAGCAACTGGAGCCAATACCTCCAACTCCAGGTTCCTCTCCTCATTGAGAACCACTGCCCTACAGAGGAGAGCAGGGTTGAGGAGAGAAGCACTAGCTCCCAAAGGAAGAATTCTGTGAATACGAGTGACTTTGTGCCCTTAGATTCCCCCGACACACAAACTCTGTGGATGCCTTGCCTTCTGGGGCAATAGGCTCCTCCGAAGCAGGGGGCAAGATGGGACTCTCCTTACTCTAGCTGTCCTCTGGAGAAGAGGAGCCCCCATAGCCGTGCCCAGCCATCCTGGCCCAGCCTTTCCCACAGTCTCCCTCCTCATCTTCCCAGAGGCACAGAGCACCTAGGGACTGTCCCCCACCAGGCCCTGCAATTCTCAGAATTCAGGTGAGGTTTCTGAGCCCCCACAACCTCAAGTCCTGGCTCCTCTCAGAAGTGCAGGGACAGGCCCCGTTCTCAAGGCAGCAACCACACAGAGCTCGAAACCAGCAGGGCCCAGGCTCCCTTGTGACTTGTTTTTACTCTCTTGTCAGGGCTTTGGGAGGAGGGGATGTTTCAAACCTGTGATTGTCTCCGCTTCGTGACTTCTTCTGGTGTGTTTTTGAAGTGGCTTTTTGTTATTCTGCCTCGAGCTGCTCATCTTTCTCAGCAGTTGTGGAAAAATGTGTTCTGCCCCTGGTGGAGCTATGGATTCCATGTAAACAGCTTGCCTGGTGGCTTGACGGGCTGAACAGATCAGAGGGCTTGGACCTGTTGCATCCTTGAAATGAAGTATTCAGTATAAACATCCTCGTGTTTGAGGCAGAGGGTGGGGACAGACACGAGGAAGCAGAAGGGGCTTTCTAGGCACACAGTCGTTCTAACTCTGGATGGTCGGTCCATGCAGGTCTGTTCTGCAGGCGAGACTATGCATGAGTAAGTCTTAGGTCTGTTCTCAGTAAGCCTTAGGGCTGTGAGAAGGTAGAGATCCACCTGTAAGAGCCTTTCTGGTTTCTCTCCCTTCCTGAAAATTGAGGGGTTGATCTTCAATTGCTCCATCCAATACTGTAGCCACTAACCTCATACAGCTACTGAGTGGTCTAAAGGTAACCAATGTGACTAATGGACTGGACTATTACCATCTTTTTAAAAGACTTATATTTATTTTTATTTGTGGGGGTGTCTGTGTACAGTTGCCTTCAGATGACAGAAGAGGGCGTCAGACCCCACTGGAGCTGGAGCTCCGACAGTCGTCAGCTTAGGACCAAACCAGACTCTTCTCAAAAGCAGCAAACGCTCTTAGCCACTGAGCATCTGTCAGCTCCCACACTGTTTTGTGGCTGTTTTTGTCACTCTCATTTGATTAACAAATATTCTTCCACAAGTGGAGCTATGGTGGCACACACCTTTAATCCCAGCACTCAGGAGGCAGAGGCAGGCGGATCTCTGTGAGTTCAAGGCAGGCCTCGTCTACAGAGTGAGTTCTGGGATAGCCAGGGCTATGCAGAGAAACCTTGTTCAAACAAACAAAACAATATTCTTCCACCATCAATTGTAATAGCTGCATGGTATTCTATGATGCATAGAAAACAAAATTTATTCATGTGAGTCTGCACCACTATTGCCTCAAACTTTGGTCTCATTTTTAAATAATTTTATGAAAAATCATCCACTAACCCTTAGGAAAAAAGAAAAGAATTAGACCAAAACAGTACAAAATTCTAAGAGTTTTGAATATTTACTCCAGAAAAGCTCAACCTGTTCATAGTCTTTTCTGTTTGTTTGTTTTTTGTTTTTCGAGACAGGGTTTCTCTGTGTAACAGCCCTGGCTATCCTGGAATTCACTCTATAGATCAGGCTGGCCTCGAACTCACAGAGATTCATCCGCCTCTGCCTCCCAAGTTCTGGGGTCAAAGGTGTGTGCTACCATCCTTAGGTATTGGAAACTCAGGTGAATGAAACACATCTCACTCTTGACGAGCTCAGGACCAATGAGAATGAAATCCTTGACCTCAGGTCAAGGGTCGACTTTGATGCTAGTTAAAAATACCACAAGTGACAGGAAGAGAGCATGATCCTCCGTGAACATGCTAGGAAGTCTGCTATGGCAACACCTGAGCTGACTCTAGAAGGTAAGTATGGACACTAACAAGGGATCTGAGGGGCAGTGGGATGGGAAAGCATCACCTCACCTCCTGTGGCTTCCACACTCATGTCCATATAACGGGAGCTCTTCTTTGGGTCTATCCAGCATGCCCTTCCTGCCCTTCCTGTTACACGAATCCCTTCTATGATCTTTTATAATGGGACACAAGACAGCTTGGCCACAGTCTACATAAAGTCACCCCCAGAGACTTCTCTACCAAGATGCCAAGCATGACATAGTATTGATGATTCGAGTGTCTTTTGTATTAATCACTTCTCCTTAAAAGAAATGTTGATTTGTCATTATACCTGTCTGATAGATAATTAATTAACTAAAACAGTTGCAGGAATCAGAGATAGGGTACAAGCCAGGGAGACCTGTATTCTCTGGGCCTCCATTCTGAGTCCACCTTGCTTGGCAGTGCCAGCCCTGCACAAAGAAAACAGCCAATGGAAGGCCCTGCTACAGAGACGCTTGGGAAGATTCCCTTCATTTGCTGAGCCTGCAAAGCAGAGAACAAAAAAATGAGAGTCGGAAAAGGATCAAGGGACTTTGATAGTAGCAACAATAATGGCCTGTCACCAGCTCATGGCCTGTGGCCAAGAGAGGCAACCGTTGGCTTCTGTTTCCGAGAGTCTCCGTGTCCCCAAGCACACACACCTTCATAGGGAACCTCTGCCCTTATGGAGTAACGCAAGTCCTCGAAGTTGACCTTTTCTTCAGAGATTCACTGAAAGACAAATTAAGGAAGTCGCCCGTCTGTGTCCCCGGAGCAGGAGGTGAGAAGGGTATGACAGTCACCGGACCTTTTCCATGACTTGACCTCTATTCTCTCTCCCCAATTGTCTCATATGACATCAATGACGGGATGGCATTCTCCTACCTGCCTGTGCCTGACTTCACCACACCCTCTTCCTTGCTCTGTGACGCATGATGTCCCTGGAGAGTCCCCCCCCCCATCATCACAGAACAAAAACAAAAACAACAAAGAAAAATACCAAATCTTCCTCTTACCATGCCCACCCCCTCACCCATGACTGACCTACATGATGGGGATCTTTACTTCTGACACTAGAAATGAAGTTGCTTTTTTTTTTCTTTTTCGTTTCACTTCTGCTATTTACACAGAGGCACTTGCCAGGGACCTCAGCACTGAACCTATCTTAATTTTAATTCAAGTTTATTTTTGGACTTCTCAGCTGTTGCTACAAAATGAGCTTGGTGAATCAGTGAAGAAAAGAAAGAAGCAGAGAGAGAACGAATGCTGTAGACAGCCTGCTCCAGGCCAGGCAATCCCTAGAGAACTTCATTTCATCCTTGTGGTGTTTCTAAGATAGAGTCTTAGCATGGGCTACATTCCCACAGAAACTGAAGTTCTGTGCAGTTAATGGCTTGGTCAAAATCATGAATGGAGACTTGGGCTAAACCAGGCCTGACCCAAAAGCCAGAGTTGGGCTGATGTGATGGCTCTATGGGTAAAGGCGATTGCCACCAAGCATGATGACCTGAGTTCAATTCCTACCATGTAGTAGAAGGAGAGAACTGACTCCTGAAAGTTGTCCTCTCATCTCCACATTTGAGCCGTGGCATGAAAGCCTAGATGCACACATGCATGCACGCACGCACACACACCAAAAAGGGGGGGGGCAGTTTTCTGGGCCCGCACCCCTACTCACCCTCGACCCCGCCTCTCCTTCTCCTGTACCTAACTCACTGAAACTCACTTGAATTCACCTGTGCCTTCTTCCCGGCGTGTCTCCATTATCTCTGTCCCCCTAACCATCTCTTGTACTTTGCCTTTTTCTGTTTTGAAATAAAAATAGGGCCAATCACAGAATGGAATCCTAAGGTTTGGTTTAATTTCTCCCACCCCCTTTTAAGTGACTGGCTCTGTTCCCCTAGGAATCCTGTTAGGAAAGTGAGAAATCCTGAAGTGAGAAATCTCTGATGGCAAAGGAGAAGCCCACTGGCCTTGCAGCTATCCAGGGCTCAGCTGGGATCCCAGAGGCTCCAACGAGGGAATTCAACATCACTAAGTGGCTACTACCTCACCTACCAGTTGGCAGATGCCCAGCTGACAGGGTGGTTGAGAGACCCAAATAAAACAATGCAGTAGTTAGCTTTCATGTTGCTGTGGCAATATACATGATTCCAACGACTCAAAGAGGGAAAGGTTTATTTTGGCCCATGGTTTCAGAGAGTTCAACCCAAGGTCACTCGGCTCCACACAGTAGAGCAGAATATCATGATGTCAGGAGCAGAAGGCAAAAGAGAAGCTATTTTCTTCATGGCTGACAGGGAAGCAGAGGGAAGAAATGTCAACCCTCTGCTGTCCTCCTTTCTCTCCCTTCAGCTGTGGAGAGGAACCCCAGCTTGTAAGTGATGCTAGCATTCAGGGTGGGTCTTCCTCTCTAGAAACATCCTCACTGACACACCCAGAGGTGTTTCCCACCAACCTCTTAGGTGAGTCTAAAGTTGACAAAGTTTAACCATCAAAGACAATACAAAAGAAAAGGCCAGCTCAGATTCTTCAGGCAATCTAAAAATGTCTCCCTCTCCCTGCCTGGGAGAGTGGTCTAAGCCTGGGGAGGGTAGCTGAGCTGAAGGGGACATTGCTAACTCAGAGAGACTGGTTCGCCTTCATGCAGACCTGCCTGAAGCATTGTAGGGCCCAAGCAAGAGCACAAACCTTCATATTGCTTGACCGTATCTATCAATCTAATCGACTCTTGAATTTAAGGGGTTCAACTGCATTTGAAAATGTCTACAAAATATCAAAATTGCAGAAATCTTTTCTTATGATTATCCGAGGAGCCATGAATAAATTCAGACTTTAAAAAAAATTTTACTTTCAGCCTGGTGGTGGTGGCATACGCCTTTGGTCCCAGGACTGGGGGATGCAGAGACAGGCAGATCTCTGTGAATTCAAGACCAGCCTGGTCTGCAGAGAGAGTTTCAGGGCAGGCTCCAAAGCTACAGAAAAAAAAAAAGTGCTTTCATCTTCTGTGTGTGAGTATTTAGTTTGCATGTATGTATGTGCACCACACATGTGTCTAGAGCCTGGGGAGATCAGAAGATCCTCTGGAACTGGAGTTATGGAGAGCTGTGATCTGAGTGCTGGGAACTGACGCCAGGCAGGTAATCACTGACTCACTGAGCCATCTCTCCGGCCCCTAAATTTAGAACATTCCTTAGAGGATGAATGCCTGTATAGATAAGTAGACCATAGATAGATAGATAGATAGATAGATAGATAGGCAGGCAAATGATGGATGGATGGACGGACGGACGGATGGATGGATGGATGGACGGACGGACGGACGGACGGACGGACGGACGGATGGATGGATGGACAGACAGATGGTCCCCTGTCTACCCAGCAGCCGACACCCTCAGCTTTGTTAATGGGTTTCATGAGCAGCGGCCTCGGGCCACAGCTTAGTGTAGGGTGTACACCACAGCTGTGCTGCCTGCTGTGGAGGCCCGAAGAGGACTCAGGGCAATCTGAGTAAAGAATTGGGATGTGGTGGGGCATAGTAGGAAGACACAGGACGATGGATCCATTCATTCTCTGTCAGAAAGGAGGGCAGCCCAGAGAAAACTAGAGCTGGCCTCAGAGGTACGGATCTCTCTGCCAACCTGGGCCTAGAGGAGTACGGCTGCCCATTCTCTCTGCCTGTCCCTTTAAATGAGAATCCACACCATGAGCTGGAACCACATCTGTGTTAACCCTTAAACCTAATATTTGAAAGGAAATTATACCTTTTTTTTTTCCAGCACCGGAGGTTGAATTCAAGGCCTTGTGCATGCTAGACAAGTATTCTACCTCTGAATCATAATTCCTACTTTCATCAGAGTTTTTACTTTGAGATGGTGACTCACTAAATTGACCAAGCTAGCTTTAAATGCACTTTGTAGTTCTGGTAATCCCTCTGCCTCAGCTTTCCAAAGTGGGGGCCTGTGCAACCAGGCTTGCATAGATTACTCCTTTGATCAATTCAATCTATTGCAAGAATCTGTTTTTCCCACCTCCAGGATGGGGGCCAAGTAGGGAGAGGCTTCAACTCCCATACACTAGTGTTTACACATAGAATCCCTTCGGCTGTGCCTCTTCTCTGCTTTAAAAGTCTTTGTTCCAAACACTATAGATAGGAAAGCAGATGGGTGGTTCTCGAAGGCTGGGCATGGAGGAAGGGGTAGACTACAGAGGGGATTCAAAGGCACTGAGCAAGGTAAAGATGCATAACACAGCATCTTGCTTCTGGTAGTGTTTAGACGATTATCAGCATTGGGGATAGGGGAGGGGACAGAGCAAGTTAGAGGCCCTAGAACCCTATACTTGAAGTTTGCTGTATATATGTAAATTATACTTTAAAATTATGTCATGATTTTTTTTTTGCTCCAAACTACATTTTAAGAAAGCTGTGGGAATTCAAAGGAGAGTATATTAAGGCTTATAAATTAAGTTCCTTTGACGCGACATTTAGGGAGAGACCGCGTGGCAGCCATCTGCTGTGTTCGTGGCCATTCAGCATCTCACCAGATAGCCTCACTTTCTGGAGGGAATTCCCTTGTTAGTCTTCCACCCCACAAGGAGTCCACGAAGCCTAACCTCCAGCCCGGACACAGCACGTGACCTACCCTCCAACCAATCAGAGGCACGTATGCAGATTTTGCTGAAGAAATGGGAACTTACAGGTATGGACACTAGGGCTGCGCGGAGCTTCCTTTTTTTCTTTTTAACTGGCATTGGGACAGCAGAAGTGTTAGGCTTTGGGGCTGTCAGTAGTTGTGAAGCCGAGTTCCTTGTTCAACAATGGTGTAGGGGAAAGACCTGGATGGGGAGTTCCATTCTCAGCTCATTGCTACCGGCTGTGAGCCTCCTTTGGGAAAGTCCTTAACTTCTCCGACTCTGTATTTCCTCATCTCTAGAATGGGCATCACAACATGACTTCACAGAACTGTCGTGAGATTGAATGACGTGTTCTGGGGTCTGGCCGACCATAGGTACTGAGTAAGTACTAGCTCCCGTCCCCACTCAGTCTCTCCGACCCAGGAAAGGGGTGATCTGCCTCTCGGTCTGGAAGCTCCCTGAAGGCCAGGCTGTGGTCCCTCATCCTAGCCTGGACAGTTTTTCAGAGCAGTCTCGGTGAACTTTCCTCCTTAACCGAAACTGATGTTGACCTTTGGAAGCAGGCGCCAGTGACCAGCATGGAAACACTTCGCTGAGTTTCCCTCCTCTGCCCTCTTCCTCCGTAGTCTTTCGTGAGCTCTAAGTGGCACCTATTTGAGGTCAAATCCATAGAAACATATTTCAGTTTAACTCTAGGAGCCTTTTGGCTGAGCACCAAGAATATGCCGTGTTGTGTTAACTAGTTATTAGATAAGGTGATGTAATTTAAGAAAAGCAGCTGGAGATAGACACCATGCAGCGGGGTTCAAGCAGAGGGTTGTTTTTTTTTTAAATTATTATTAAGGAAAGGGATCATAAAAAGGGAAGGGGGAAGACTGGCCTCTTGGGATGGGGAGCAGCAAGAGACAGGAAAGAGAGGGGGAGAGAAAGAGAGAGGGATGGGAGGTGGACAGGGCCCTTTTAAAGGGAACATAGTGAGTGTGCACAGGGGGTGCTCTTAGTGGCTGCAGCTGAGGGCGCATCCTGCCAGAACCCCAAGGACAGACCAATACAGATACCTGAGAGCCAACATAAGGCATGACAGCATTCTGCAGTTTTAAGGCCACCAAAGAAATTCTTCATGGAATTGGGAGTTCTTTGAACTGGATTTTTAAAACATATGTATGAGTGCTTTGTCTTCATACATGTGCACCATGGTCATACCTGGTACCTGTGAAGAACAGATGAGGGCATCACCAGATCCCCTGGAACTGGAGTTACAGGTAGTTGTCGGCTGTGTGTGCTGGGAACCAAACCTAGGTCCTCTTCGAGGACAGCAAGTGCTCTTAACTGCTGAGCTGTCTGGGTAGAAACATTCCAGAAAGATAAAAGTGTTCAATGCTTTGCCCTGGCAAGGCTCAGGCAGGAAGTCGGGAGAGACAGCTCAAATGTGTTCAAGCTGAGAGGGGCTGATAGGGGCCTTGAGCACCATAAACAGTTGCAAGAGGAGGAAGCAGATACTGACTCCTTCAACTGCCACAGGGGAAGGCAGGCAGGAAGGTTAGGACCACCACCATCTTTTCTTCTTGACTGAAGTTCCTGAGTGTGTATCACTGACCTCCTGAGCCCACAGGTCTCCAGGAGATGATCAGTGGGACCCCCAAAGGTGAGACCAAGACAGGACAGACAGCCAATATTCCCTACGCCAGATGAGTAAGTGAGAGGAAAGACCACTGAGCCAGCCGAGGCGAGAACCTGAACCACTTCACTACAGCAGACAGTTCCAAGCCTCCCCACGCATCAGTACACGAGGGGTGTCTAAGTCAGCGTGCAGATGGGCATGCGGGGCTCAGGGAACACACTTCAGCTTTCGAATGTGTCACTTTGTCACAAGACCAATCCCATGACTCCCCCCATTGTTCCCACCAGGGTTTCAGACCAAGCTTCCAAGTTAAGGGGCTTGCCTTAAGTAAAGGCCGCCTCAGAAGTCAACACAATCTTACCAGAGGATGGGAAGGCACTGAGACAACCCTCAGGTGGACCTGGAGGGCTGTAGCTTGGAGTTGTCATGACAACAGGGCAGCAGAGCCAGACTTGCCCTGAGGTGTGGATGAGTGACTCTGAAAGAATAGACCCCACCCCTGTTTTCCTATTTATCATCTTCAGACGTCCCTCCACACCTGTCCCCATCCCTCTCCTCTGGAACCCTAGCAACTCGAAAAACACAGACACACACGCCGCCTCCTCCTCTCAGTGTCCAACGATGAGCCCTCACAGCAAAACAGGAAGCCTCTTCCTGCCAAGGCAAACCCATTATGTTCTCTCTGCTCACGTGTGGACAAGTACAGGAAACCACTACCCAGCCATGGCAACAGGTGCCGGGGCGACCCCAGGCTTCCCGACAGCCTGTGCCCAGCCCTTCTTCCCTTTCCTTCCTCCTCGAGAGCGGTCTCTTTGTGGGGGTTAATAGTAATTGTCAGTCGCCTGGGAGACAAGGCCCTAGGCAAGTCCGTGAGTGTCTGAACACCTACCTGAGATGGGAAGGCTGACCTCCTAACTGAGAGGCCTGGGCCTGGACTTGGATCTTCGACGGCATACAAAGAAGAAAGCTTGTCGATTGCATGTATTATTCTCCCTTTGTTTCCTGACAGCAGATCCAGTGTCACCAGCTACCTCAAGCTCCTGTTGCCATGACTCCCAGGCCATGATGGACTGTATGCTGGAGCTGTGAGCCAAATAAACCCCCTCTCCCTTACATTGCTCTTGTCAGGGTATTTTTATCACAACAGCAGGGGAAAAAAAAACCTAACATTTCCTCTTTGCAACCTGGCAGCTCATATCTCTTGGTCCTTTTCCTCTTGGAGACCAAAGATCTGATTAAGGCTTTGAAACCTAAAAAAAAAATCATCTTCCAAATACAGTTCCTAATGCTAGCCAGGTAACTCAAAACTGCACCTGTGCTGAAATTTAGCAGGTTTCTTAGCTCTTTGGATCACAAAAGTCTAGGTAGGATCTGAGATGACCTTCTCTCAAATTCTGAGTGTCCCTAGATGGATCACTGGGTCTGCCTGTGAGGTTGCCTGGTGCTGAAGCCAAGCGGACTGTCTTAGTTAAGGCATCTATGGCTGTGATAAAGCAGCACGGCTAAAAGCTATTTGGGGAAGGAAAGATTTACAGGTTTGCACTTCCACATCGCAGTCCAGTACCAAAGGAACTCAAGGCAGGACAGGAACCCGGGAGCAGGAACTGGCGCAGAGGCCTTGGAGGAGTGCCGCCTATGGGCTTGCAGAGCCTGGTCTCTTATATCATCCAGTGTTAGGTGGGGATCAATCGGGTGATTAATCAGCGGCAGATGAACCTCAACAAAAGCAAACAGTCCTTTGTTAGGACGCTGGGGGGGAAGCGGTCCCTGTGTGGTGGGGGGAGGGGGCGGAGATGGACTGTGCACCCAGGAGCAGGGGGCCTGAGGGTTTTATAGGGCAGAAAAGGAAACTTTTGAGGTTGGAAGATTCCATCTGCAGATGTGTTCCCTGAAGTCTCAGAGCTGTAAATACCAAGGGAGGCTCTTATCCATAGGTTGACTTTCTTGTCAGCAGAGTCCCAGCTCCTAACTGCCTGCAGGTGTTATCACTCTATCAACTTTCCTATCTGGAGTTTCTCAGCTTTTAGATCATTAACCCTTCACCCAAGGCCACCAGGCCAGGGGCGGGCACTGCCCACAGCTAACTGGCCCTTCCCACATCAGTCATTGAAAAAAAAAAAAAGCTTCACAGGTTTGCCCTCAGTCCAGTCTGGTGGGGGCATTTTCTCAACTGAGGTTCCCTCTCCCCAGATGACTCCAGCTTGTGTCAATTGACATAAAACTAGCCAGCACATGATCATTCCCAAGTGAACCGCAAAAGATCTTGAAGGTGGTGGCGCAGGGTCAGGGTTGAGGGATATAATCCTAGGTGTTAGTCTACGAATTGCAAGCCTGGGAGGACTAGAATACACTGTCCAATGCCAGTGGACAAGAAAACTGGAGCATGAGTGAGCATGCCCTGTGCCAGAAAGACAACAGGGAGTTTCTGCAGACCTGGCTCCATCCAGAAGTTTCTGCTCTGGCTCTTCTCCTGGGACTCTTCAGGTCCAGGGCCTTCTCCAGGGGTCTCAAGACTTGTGTTCCTTCATACTAAGTTTCCTTTCATCCTGTGAATAACCAAGTCATCAGTGAGGTGCTTGGGTGGCATGGCTGTAAAGATGACTTCCAGGTCTGGTTCCCGCCCATGCTCTGAAACCTTTGCTCCTGGGCAGAACTTCCCCAAAAAAACAGTGACACTCATTCTCAGAGAACAGGGGAGAGTGCAATAAGCTTTGTGTGATGGAATCTTTTCCAGTCAGAGGGGCAAGAGTCACGGCTTTAGTCCTTTAAGGCCAGGCCCTGCATCAGCAGGAGCTAGCTTGGCATAAGGAGAAAAGCCCCTTAGCTTGGAGCTAAAGGTCATATCACTTCTAAGTCTCAGTTTCTGGAGTCACAGAAATGAAACCTACCAAACACAACAGCCTGGGCTTACGTGAGATAGGTCACAGTGTCTCACTCTGTAAACTTGGCAGGTCTGGGACTCTATATGCAGTCCCAGCTGGCCTTGAACTTGTGGCAAAGGAGAATGTTCTTGGAAATACGGAAGTCACATAAAAACCTGGAGATATTATTTGTCTGGTAAGAAGTCCCAGACCATAGCTGATACACCCTAAAGTCTGAGTAACTACCCCAAAACCTCACCAGTAGGTGTTTAGTCATTGGTTGCTGGATGAATGGATGCATGGGCAGACTGACACGGACTGGCACCTAAGAAAGTCTAGCGCGTAATCACTCCCCACAGCAACACAGAGAGCCTCATTTCAAACATACAGACCAAAGCTATCTCACATGCCAAACACAGCCTAGCCAATGAGCAGGCATCAAAGTCAGAAATCTGGCCCAACGGTCACATCACTCTGAAATGAGGCCAAGTTAAACACTGTGGCTCTCTCTGCCCTCTGAATTACCAAGTTAGCAACCCTTTTGAAGTTGACTGAGTGAAACTTCTGGCTATAACATTTCTTCAGACCACTCGCCACTGCCTTCCTCCCTCATCTGGACCTCTCCACGCCCCTCCTGGTATCCCTGCTCCCACAGGCATCTTAATTGGCTTCCTACTGCTCCTGTGCTATGCCGAGCTAGTCCTCCTAGCTAATTTCCTAATTGCCTATAGTCAATGGCATCTTTCATTGTTTTCTTAAATACCATGAAATACGTGATATATAAAACCACAAAGAATAATGTACTGGAGACGTTGGTGCATCACAAGCAAAACATTACCAATTGCTATTTGTTAAGCTCCCAGAACTCTACCTCCATATCCTTCTGAGGCCACTCCTAACTTAGGGTGAACATATTCATGGTTACTTTTCCTCTTCTCATAATTTTGGGGGGAGGATGTTCTAGACAGGGTTTCTCCGTGTGACAGCCCTAGATAGCTGTCTTGGAACTCAATTTGTAGACCAGGCTGGCTCAAACTCACAGAGATCTGCCTGCCTCTGCCTACCAAGTGTTGGGATTAAAGATGTGTGTCACCACCACACCTGGCCCATTTCTGTTGTTTAAGCCACCAGCCTGTGTTATTTTATTATAACAATCCAAATAAACTACACACTCCATGTAAACTTAGCAAGGCCAGGATCATGGACCTTGTCTTTGGATCAGTACAGCCCATCACCATGCCAGACACACAAGCTTACATCAAATATTTGTTGAATGAATAAATGAGATTATTACAGGAACAGATAAGATAAGGGTCTGGGGTAGGCAAGATGACTTAGGGGGTAAAGGTGCTTGCTGCCAAGCCTGACAACTTGAGTTCAATCCCAGGAGCTGACATGGTAGAAAGAGAAAAATAAATTCCTGCAAGATGTCTTCTGACTTCTGACCTCAACAAGCATGCTGTGGCATGTGTGCTTACACACAAGTGTGCTCTCTCTCTCTCTCTCTCTCTCTCTCTCTCTCTCTCTCTCTCTCTCTCTCTCTCTCTCTCTCTGTTTTAACATGTTTGAAAAGCAGAGAGGATCCATACCCTAAGATCGAGAGCATCTATTCTGTCATAACACAAATCCTACTTCTGCTGCTGCTTCAGTTGGGCTCTGTACGCAGTTTCTTTTACCTTTTTTATTTAACCTTTTCTCGTTTTATATACCAATCCCAGTTCCCACTCCCTCCCCTCCTGCTTCCCCACGTTTCCCCTTACCTTTTTTATTTTTATATTTGTTGGTTGGTTGGTTGGTTGGTTGGCTGGTTGGTTTTTCAAGACAGTGTTTCTCTGGCTGTCCTGAAACTCACTCTGTAGACCAGGCTGGCCTCGAACTCACATTGATCTGCCGGCCTCTGTCTCCTGAGTGCTGGGATTAAAGGTGTATGCTCCTGTAGTTAGTTTCTAATAAAGGAATAATAAGGAAATCAATGTAGTGCAAATTAATAAAAGACCCAGAGACAGATCAGAGAAGCAAAGCAGCAAGTTAACAGAGAGCTCTTATCTCTAACAGGGCTGGGGCATTCCTGTTCTCATCATGGCTGGTGAACGAATGCCTAATACTGAGACCTTGCTCCTGTCTTATATACCTCCCTAATTCTGGGATTAAAGGTGTGTGATCCCAGGTGCTGAGATCATCTTTTTGTGAACTGTTTCTCTTTAGAACTGGATCAATCTTGTGTAGATCTGGGTAGCCTTGACTCACAGAGATCTGTCTACCTCTTAATCCGGAGTCCTAGGATTAAAGGTGTGTGCCACCACCTCCTAACTTCTGGCTGATGGGATAAAAGGTGTGTGCCTGGCTTCTATGGCTTGTGGCTGACTTTGCTTTCTGAATCCTCAGGCAAGCTTTAATAAATCATAAAAAATATATCACTACACAACCTGGGCACCATCCCAGGGAAAGGTTGAAGTCGCTGCATCCATCAATCAGTTTCTCAGTAAGCACTTCTACGTAAGTGTGCATTGTCAAGCAGCCTCCTCTTCCATGCAGCAACCAGTTTCTAGAGGCCAAAGATGAAACTGTGCAAAGATGCCCGGGGTATTTTCTTTTTTTTTTAATTGGCTTCTCCTGTGCACTTTCCTTTGTGAAATACATTGAGTGTCTGTGATGCTGCAGCTGGAAAATCAAAACTCACAGGATTCACTATTGTACACAAACTACATGCTCATCACAGTGTGGGTCACAGTGGTCACTGTTTTGACTTTTCAGCTCTCCTGATCTAACAAGGCAGCAGTCTCAAAGACCCAGATTCAGTGTCTTACTAGTGATGCAACACATATGCTTAATAAGTGAGATGAAAAATAATACTAATAGATGGGATGCGAGAGAAACTTCTGGGATGAAGGATGTGGTGGTGTGAATGAGAATGGGCCTCATAAGCTCCTATGTTTGAATACCTGGTCCCCACTTAGTGGAACTGTTTTTGAAGGATCAGGAGGTGTGGTCTTGATGGAGGAGGTTTCAAAAGCCTGTGCCAGTTTTCTCAGCTACTGCTGCTCCTGTACCCTGTTTGCCTGCATGCTACCACAATGGTCATTGACTCACCCCCTGAAACTGTAAGCAAGACCCCAATTAAATGATTTCTTTTATAAGTTGCCTTGGTCATGCTATCTCTTCACAGGAATAGAAAAGTAAATAAGACTAATGACTTGTATATAAATACCCATAGCAACAATACTCATGATAGCTAAACAGTAGAAGCAATCCAAATAGCCAGCTGATGATGGATAAAACAAAATTGTGGTATATCCATACAATGGAATACTATTCAGCAATAGAAAGTAATGATAAATTGAAACATACTACACATAGATGACCCTAAATAAAAGAAGACATATATAAAAGTCACATATGGCATATGTCTATTTATATGAAATAACCCTCAGAAGCAAATCTACAGAAGGAAATTAGATCTGTGGCTATGAAGGGCTATGTATATGGGAAGAAAAGAGATGGGAATCACTGGTAATAATGGCAGGAGATTTGACTAAAAGATGATTCAGAATTTACTGTGGTGAAGTAAACTCTGTGGCTACGTACACACCATGAAAATGTCTACTTTTTTTTTTTTTACGAGACAGGGTTTCTCTGTATTGTTTTGGAGGATGTCGGTCCAGCCCGGCCTCGAACTCACAGAGATCCACCTGCGTCTGCTTCCCGAGTGCTGGGATTAAAGGCGTGCGCCTCCACCGCCCGGCGGAAATGTCTACTTTAAAAGGGTAAACATCAGGGCTGGAGAGACGGCTCAGCAGTTGAGAGCACTTGATGCTCTTGCAGAGGACCCAGGTTCAGTTCCCAGCACCCATTTGGCAGCTCACAACCACCTGTAATTTCAGTTCCAGAGGATCCGACACCTTCTTCTGACCTCCGCAGGCTCTAGGCACATAGGTGACACATGTAAGTGTATTCAGGCAAACACACACATAAAATAAAAATTAATAAATCTTTTCAAAAGGGTGAACGCTATAGTATATGAGCCATATCTAAATGAAACTGCTGTATTTTAGAAAGAAAGAAAAAAGAAAGAAAGGGAAGAAGGAAGGAAGAAAGAAAGAAAGAAAGAAAGAAAGAAAGAAAGAAAGAAAGAAAGAAAGAGAAAGAAAGAAAAAAAGAAAGAGAAAAAAACAGCCTGGCATTTCCCTTTCTTTCAACCTTCCTTGCCCCAGAAGCCAAAAAGAAAGCAGTCTGGAAAATGTAGTCCCTATATGCAGAGCAGAACAAGGGGATGGAATGAGGGCTTGAAGCATTATTTTGCCATAGCAACTATTTTTAACTATTAATACAGAAGCAAGGCTAAGTTATTCTGAACTCCGTGTCAGACAGGTACTGTCACTCACTGAATGACTACACCCAGTGGCCAGAGATAAAGATTTACAGGTGTCTCTCCTGGAAGTGGGACATTGAGATATTTGCTCTAGGACTCAGTGGTCACCTAACAGGCTCAGCATGGGCTCTGTGTTTATCCTAAACCCCCTAATTGGACTGGGGAGATGTGGATAAAAGAACTTTGCCTCAAAAACATGAGGAACTGAGTTCAAATCCCCAGCACCTATGTAAGAAGTCTAACAGTAGCATGAACATTCCTCCAAGGAGACAGCTGAGACAAGAGTCCCCAGAAGCTTGAAGGCTAACTCACCTGGTAGTATGGAATGGGGCACATGACAACGACATTCTACTCCAACAGAAGGGAAGGTGACTGACACCTGAAGTTGTCCTCTGACCTCTACACACAAGCAATGGCATGAAATTCTCAGATTCCGGCATACCAACGTACACAAACACATGTGTACACATGTGTACACATATCATACACACACAATAAAATTAAGACAAATAATTTTTTAACTTAAAGCACTTATTAGCAGTCTCCCTCTGGGGGAAATCGGGTGTGGTAGCACATGCCTATTCATTGTAGCACAGGAGAGGCAGAGGCAGGAGAACCAGAAGTTCAAGGTTATCCCTAGCTGTGTTGCAAGTGTGAAGCCAGTCTGGGCTATATAATAAATGAGACCTTGTCTCAAGAAATATAAATAAATAAAAATAAAAAATAAAGTAAAAGTTCTCC